CCCCCCATCCTTTTTTTTTTATTCCTCCCCACCCCTTTGTACCCCCCCCCCGGCCACTTCACATACCCCCCCCCCCTTGCTTGCCAATGGTCTTCTTTCAATCCCACGACAACACAACCGCAGACGGTAAGCGTGGACGTCAAGGTCCCTACGGTCCCGATCACCGTCACAACCACAGCCCTCACGGAGCTGGCGTGGATCCTGGGGGGCTTCGTGGTCGGTGACGGCGAGGAAGACGCCGGTATCGATGCCGCCGAATCCGCCACCGCCACTACCTCGGCAACCCCAGCGGCAGCAGCGTTCGCCGCAGCTTCCGCAGCAGCTCGACCCGGCAGCAGAAGCAGCAGCGGCAGTAGTGGCACCGCCGCCAGCGGTACTAGTAGCGGGGCGCGCGCTGTTGGCGGCGGCGGTAACGGGAGGAGGAGGTCCGGGAGTGTGCCCGGGCGAAGCAACGGCAGCGGATCTTGCTCGCCCAGCCCTCTCATGCCGGTCAAGGTCATCTACCGCAGACCTTCGAAGGTGTGAAGACGAAAAGAAAGCCTAGAAACATAACGGATACGGTGGTGTTGGGTGCTACCCACATCGGGACGGCCCCGAACTTATCGGGACGTTAGTTGTAGACAGGTAGACTGCTGTGGCCACCATCAAGATTTGAACGATTGTATGTAGCCACGGACTGGTGCTTCGGAAGTGTTTGCCCTGATCGAAGTGGCCGAGGTGAATGGACAAGTGGCACAACCGCCGCCTTGAACCCGCACCTCCCAACACACTTCTGTCACACTTTTGTACGACCACGTCTTGCCTCATCATCTGTTTCGCTCCCCCCCCATCCCGATCCAATAGTAGTGTCTCTTGTCAGGGATAAACGTGTTTCATCCTCCCGAAAGTATGACGCGGCCAACGCGAGAGGGTCCTAACAAAAGGAAGACGTGCCTCCCCCCCACTCCCCCCCCCCCCCCCTGCGCGCGTTTCAAGGTGCGCCGGCTTCTTCTCCGCGTCCGAGTGTCATCCCTGACCCTCCGCCTCGCGGACGCGGCCCGCCTCAAGAAGGTCGGGACCGGTGCCGAGGTTCTGGGCAGCACGATGCCGTGGGGACTCGACCCGCCGCGGGGCCACCCCATCCTGGCGCTTCGCCTCGACGGTGCCATGCTCGCGATGGTCGTGCGAGAGGCGAGCGGCCGGAGGGGTACCGGCGGTGATGTAGGCAGGAAGAGGACTGGAGGACGGCAGCAGCAGCAGCAGCAGCAGCAGCAGCAACATCGCCGCGACAACAGCCTCGGGTCTGCCGGGGCAAGGGCGCACGCCGCGAGCGGGGCATCGACGACCGCGCTGCCGAGACCGTCGTCATCGGGGAGGCGTTTCGAGAGAGGAGGGGATGCGAGAGCGGCCCCCTCGCCAGCTTCTTTGGGGGGCGGCGGAGGGGGAGGGGGCCAGGGGAGGATGACCGAGGGGGCCATCACGCTGACGGTGGCGTCGATCCGGGCGGAGGGTTCGGACGCGGGCGTCGACAAGGCCAGGGGCGTCATGCTGCCGATCCTGGCCGTCTCGCCCGGCAGGCCGCCCGCCCGACGCGGTAGCAAGAGCAGCGACGACGGCCACCGCCGTACCGGAGGAGGTGGCGAAGGCGAGGCACGCGCGAACACGGCTGACGACAGCTTCGCCGCCGACATCGGAGAAGCGTCTTCTTCGGTTGCCGGCGGAGGAGGCGGAGGCCCCTCGTCTCCGCAGCCGATTCCGCCGGGGGCCCCGCAGCAGCAGCAGCAGCCTTCGGCGTCACCCGCCAGGGGGCTGGAGATCTCGGCCAAGTGGACCCTGGAGCCCCTGCACGGCGGAGGAGGAGGAGGCGGCGGCGGGAGCCACGCCCCTGCCCGGCGGCGGAGCCGCCGCGGCAGCATCGGTGCTACCGCCAACAGCGGTACGTGTGGTCAGCATCGCGTTTTGCGTGCTTCCCGGAGCGGGCGGACTTCACGCCCATCGGAAAAGTTTTTTATGTGAAGTAGTACGTAAAGTTGGTCGTAGGGGACGTTGGTGTCCAAGTGGAAAGGCTTTCGCAGTTGACGTTGTTTTGGTTCTGCGGAGCTGCTCCGGGGACGTTGGGTGCAGATGGGTGTCCCGGTTGGTCAACGAGCTCGCGCGGTAGGCTTGGTTGTTTTTTTTGCAAGGCACGTCCTTGCGAAGAGTCTTCCGGGCCCACGCAAGCACAACACGTCGCCCGTAATGCCATAACAGGTACAAGCAGTCACAGTGCCGACGATTCTGCGCCAACACCCCGTAGCAGTCTTGCCGCCCCCCCCCCCCCCCTT